AGAGAATTACCAATTTAAAAAAAAAATGATAGTGATAAGCATTATAGTAGTAGAAGTTAAAACGGGAGACCATGAAATACTTCAAGGAAAAAAAAGAATTGATCGATATATAAAGAAGAAAAAAAATCAGATAGATTTCTGCATCTAAAGGTAATCTCTTAATTTTAAAATTCAATATATTTTTTTTGTTATAGAGATGATTTTGTAATTATTTAATATTAACATTCAATCAAATTATAGTAAAATGAAAGAAAATTCAAAATTCTATGAAAAAAGATAAATAGAAATACTGAATGTATAGAGCATCTTAAACTTATTTTTTTCTTCAGAATCATATATATATATATATATATATTTCAAGTAATTTGCATTTGCATGAGATTATAATATTTAGCAAAAGTAAAATGTTTTTTTAGACAATTTTATCTATAAAATTAAAGATTCAGAAATTAAAATCACTATTGTTGAAAGATTTTACTTGAATATCCTCTGCCCAAACATTAACTGAGAGAGGGTGTCATATAAGCGGCCCCCAAGCCATAATTATTTAAAAATTTTATCTTATAAACTAATAAAAAATTTTAATTTTACCTTTTAAAATAGTAAGTTTTTAATTTTATCCTCCTTTAACTCTTGAAAGTTTTATTTAGCCGTCTTAGCTTTGATTTCTCACCGTGGATCCAAGCATAACGCAACATGTTTAAACAAATGTTTATAGATTTTTAAAGAGGAGCTATTAAGATTTAAATTTTTCACGAAAATAAAAAAAGATAACTCAATGTCAAAATCTTTAAATATTAAAATTTTTAAATAGAAAATATACGGAAAAAAATGTCAGGATTTTTCTATATATTGTACTGTGGAGCCACTTACAAGTAAGTGATTACCTAATATTGAATTTTTTTTTAAAAAAATCTGTAATGGATAAGGTGATCCCACTGAAATTATTAAACTAAATCTAAATTTTAAAATATCAAGTGACTTTTGTTGTTCTTTAAGTTGCAATAAGACATTAATTATTACATTTTTTTTGAAAATGGATATTTGATTGTTCATATTGAAAATGATATGTTCAATAATATTGATAATGAGACAAGTACATATCAACTTCAAATGAAAAAATCAGTATGAAATATTATAATATATAGTATTTTGCTATTTTAATATTATGAAATATTATATTAATATGATAGATATTTTTCATTGCACTAAGAGTCTGTTTGGTAAAATTAACTGTTTTAGTAGCTATTAATTGTTAGATATTAGCTTTTAGTTAGTGGCTATTTATTAGCAGTTTAAATTAGAAATGTTCGGTAAAAATAACTATTTGATCAGCTATTTTACTTAAAATGACAAAAAAAATGTTAATTGTTTAATTAGCTGAATTTAGACGGAAAAATGATGGGTATGATTGTCAAAAAAAATTATAATTAAAAGTTAAATGCTAAACATTAAAAGTTAAATGTTAGAGTGTTTAACGTTTTGTAAAAAACCTCTCTCAATTTCTAAAAATTATTATAAAAACTGTTGCCAAACAATACCTAAAAAAGATATATATTTTGACACTTATCGAAAATATTAAAATCGTTTATGTTTTATGACCAGAACTAGATGATAGCTCCCAATTTAAAATATATATTTTTTTTTGACACTTATCGAAAATATTAAAATCGTTTATGTTTTATGACCAGAACCAGAAGATAGCTCCCAATTTAAAATATATATATTTTGACACTTATCGAAAATATTAAAATCGTTTATGTTTTATGACCAGAACCAAATGATAGCTCCCAATTTAAAATATATATATGATATTAAAAAAGTATCACCATAATAAAAAAAAAAAAATCTTGTCTCGCCACTACTTTCATATTAAATCATTCAACTTTTTTTTTTTAATTTTTGAGGATCTTTTATGAAAAAAGCAAAATTTATGATAAAAATAAAGAAACCACTTGAAAAGAAAAACCAAGTTATATATACACACCTAATAAAAACTTTGGTTATTGATCCAGAATACCCTGAATCTTGCACCATCTTGCAATTGTACCCTAATTATTTAATGGAGACAGAAGCAATTAACTGAGTCTGTATTAAATTGAATCAAATTCAACTCTGACAGCCATTTTTATGATTTAAATTGCTCCAAACCATAGTTTCGCTTTCCGTTACAATTACACTCGACGCTAAAGCATATAAAATAAACCAAACATTGCAACTATACAATTGCATTAAGATATCCCAATTTTAAACTTTTTATCACATTTTGCACTCTAAATTCAAATTATTTCAAATTATACAAATTATTTAATTATAATTTCATCTTAAATTCAAATTTTATCTTATTTCGATAATACAAACCCTAAATTACTGGAGAATAAGTAAAGGAGATAAAGCTTGAAATAAAGCAAAACATTTTGCGATCTCATAAGGTGCACCGTTTTTACTAACCAATACTTTGGGTTAAAGTAGTTTAATGTGCATATATGGACCAATAATTTCTATTTTCATTCAATAAATATGTCATAATTTGAATTTAGAATGTTTGGAGATTACGATCATTTTGGGGTACACCCTGTTTTCTTCACTAATCTAGGATCTGCACATCTAAATGAGATGAAAATTGAATTTAAAATGTAATTATGGCTTTATATCTGCCATAATTTTAAATTAAAGATGAAACAATTATCGAAAGTTAAAATTGGAGTGTTTATAGGGATTCAAGTCATTTTAGAGTGTAATAATACACTCGCAAAGTCCGAGATATTTTATATAGTTTAGCCAACTCATTTTGAGGGATTAACTAACCAAGTATGAAATGTGGAATCCATATTTAATATATTTTATTGATAAATCAATTTCAAATTAAAATGTGATGAAAAATTATATCCGAGGGACTAAGTTAGATTTTGGGTGCAATTTATTACAAGATGAAATTTTTTTTTTCTTTTTTAATGGTTTATTATATGAAGCTAAAAACTTTCAAATCCTATTATCAAGCAATGAAATTATTGGAAACTGAATATATTTGTTTTAGTAATTGATAAATTGGATCGACAAATTTATTTAAAAAAAAAAAAATTACAGTACGATTAATTCTTGTGATTTAGGAAACACAGTTAATCGGTCTATGTTTTTGAAAATAGATTTAAATTCTTTGATAGTTATTATCACCAGACTATAAAGTTTGTTTGTCCAATTTTTGTATCTTTTTTTGTTAAGTGTTCTATGAAATGATGAAAATATCATTTTATCTCTTCTCTTTTCACCTTTGGTATATTCTTAAAGATATAGGAACGAATTAATTGCATTTTTCAAACCACAAGAATTGTATTTTAATTTTTTGGTATTAAATTTGAATATAAATCCTTTGATCTCTATTTTTTTTTTTGTTGACTTAACAAAAAAATACAAAAATTGAACAAAATAACTTAATAGTATAATATAAAAAAAATAAATTGATATATTTTTAAAAATACATAAATAATCTAGTTGTATTTCACAAATTACACAGAAAATGCCATAATGTTTTTCATTTATTTTCATCAAAGTGAGGAGAGAGAGTGAGTTTTATGTTGGTATGTTGAATGATATGGAAGTGGTGACAGAAGGTCACATGGATACGACACAGAAAAGTATGCCCAGTTAGATACTTTCTATTGTCAGAAGAAAAAATATATACAAACGTCACCTTCAAAAATCAAAGTGAATGGCCATTTCCTAACTTCTCCTTTTGTTCTCTTCTCCTCCCAATCTCTTTGGCTTCTTTCCTCTTGAATTGCGTGCTTAGAGCTTCCTTCCCCCTCTTTTTTAGTTAATTCATAAGAAATTTTCAAACTTCTTTAATATTTTTTTATATTTAAGTAATTTTTTTAAAATTATGTTTAAGTAATTTAGAAAAACAACAATAACAAACTAGTGAGATTAGATTTATGAACTCTTTTTATTCATTCCATAATATTGATATCTAATTCCGCATTAAAGTAGATCAGTGATAAATCATTTAAATAATTTCTTTACATTGGTTTTAAGTTTATTAAAAAATTTTCTTGATCTCTATAAATTATACAGTGTTTTTTATTTATATGTCCTAAAATATCTCTATATATTTTTTATAAATTAAAAATTTTTAGAGTTAATTTTCTTAATTTTCTTTTTATTCTCCAATTAAAGGATGTATTTATTATATCATAGTGATATGTAATAGATGTAAAAAGAAAAATGATAATTAGAGGGTAACAATCTATACAAGTAGCGCAATAGTTAAATTTATATGACGAATTTGAAGGATCCATGATATCATGATTCGAGTTTCATAAGCATTCCCACGAATCAACTCTTTAATAACATGATTCCGGTAAAATTACTTTACTTATAATTTGAAAGTCATGGATTTGAGTTATTAGATCACCTTTGCGATATAATTTTATTTATTTATTAAAAAAATATATTTAAATATAATCCATTAACATGCCTTACCTAATGGTCTCCAACTTAGTACAGAAGCTCTTTGTATATACATGACTTTGTATATATATGTATGGCTTACCTAATGGTCTCCTATAAAATTATAGAAGATTCAAATTCCAACTTCTTCTCTCCTTGATGGCCTACAAAATGCAATGGATGAGCCCCCTCTTACTAGAACTTTCTCAAAGCAACTCCATGCAAGCTTTTATATGCTCCAAAAACATGATTCTAAAGCACCAACAGCAATTAAAAAGTTAAAAAGGAAAAAGAAATGTAAAGAGAGAATCCTTTTCTTTTTTTTTTTTTTTTCCTCCTTATCAGTGGCCCATGCTATGACAGAGCTGGAAACCCACTCACTGGCACATGCACCTTATACCATAACAAATATTTTTTTCTATTTCTTTTCTGTAAGAGAGAGAGAGATCCAACCAAACCTAACATGTGTGTGTGTATATATATATATATTAAAATCAATTCAAACAATTACGGGTAAGAAAATTTTCAATTCAAAACCTGTAAAAATATCCCCATACTTAATTTTCAGAACAATTTCATATACTCATCAAGATTGAAAATTTGTTCACTTCTCTATACACCATTGATCTACAATTAATTAACCAAAACAGAATATATAAACTCATAAAAATGGTAGGGCAAGAAACTAAAAATAACAAAAAAAAAAAAAAAACCCTAGTTTAATTCTTCAATTAAGCATAAGGAAACTAGACCACATTTTATGATGTGTATTAATTATTGGAGAATTGGGTTTGGTTCAATGAGAAAGGTGCATGCTGCTCTTGCCATGGCCAAAATCCATTATGCTCTTCAATTCCATTGAACATATTGCAGAAATTTTCTTCTTGAACCAAATTGTCAACTTTGAGGCATTGAAGGTCTGGTCTTGATGAGCTATGCAACAATTGAGTCATGCTTGTAGGCCTTATTGATGTTGTAGTGAAAAGATGCTTAGTGCTTAGTTGGGTATTAGATACTGGACTTGTTGCCACTTGATGAGTTCTTGAAATATCTAAGTTGTTAGCTTCACAACTATTCTCACTTCCATTGCTCCAAGAGCCCTCATTTTCTTTCTTTGCGTTTACTTCATTTGAGTCTCTACATTTTAGAGCCATCAACTGCAAGAAAATTTTATACTATTATTAAATATTGAAAATTGTAAGCTTATGTCAACTTTATTATAAGAATTAATTTAACTTTAGCTTATGAAGAGGTTCTTCTGACACTGACATTTACAGAGTTGTGATCAGCTAATTTATTTTAATAGTAACCTAAGGAAATGCTATATAACCCGGAAAATGACATCGATCAAGAACTGATAGAAATTTCTAGTTAATATGATAGAAACATATATGTATAGAAATTACCTAGATCAAAGATTTGGATGTTTCCTTTTAGTATATTATTTGGAATCAAAATTGGCTAATTAAGTAATTATGATCCTTACCTCTGCATGAAGTTTCTTGTTCTGGGCTTGAAGAGAATCATTATCAGCCTTAAGAGCATCAAACTGTTTTTTCAAGACTTCATAATCTTTCTCCAGTTGCTTAGTCTTCCATCTAGCCCTTCTGTTTTGAAACCATATAGCTATTTGTCTTGGTTGCAAGCCTAAAGCCTTAGCCAACTGCATTTTCCTTTCAGGTTCAAGCTTGTTACCCAACTCAAAGCTTTTCTCAAGTGCCTTAACCTGTTCCAAGTTAAGCCTCTTCTTCTTCTCCCCTAGTTGTGATCCATCATCTGATAAGTCATCATCTCCATGCACTTCTTCGCACTTCTCTAGCCCCGAAAATGACATCGATCTCTTCATCAGGAAATGACCTCCACCACCTGCACACAACATCACAACCACAAACCCAGGTCTCCCTCATTTTCGTACTTGTAAATGACCACATATAAGTAAAAGAACAAATCATTATTTTTATACCCTGGTAGTCAAATGACGACTTATAGTACACTTGCAATGAGATCATAACCAGGGACGAAGCCAGAAATTTATATTATAACTCAGAAAGGGGCAAGCTGTTAAGTACACAGCTAAAGGTCCGGCAGGTATAACCATATATGTACATAAAATTTACAAATAATTACATCAAACCAATGAGTTTAGGCTCAGTGATTTACGACTTTAAACTACCAATCAAAAGTCAAATTAACCCAAAAAAAGAATCAATCAAGTTCTTATTTCGTTATATAAGAGATCAGAAGTCTAAATACTAATTGCCCAGAAATAAACAAGGAGAGAAAGACTCTACCAGGAAAAAGCTGGGGAGGACATGAAGGGAGAGAGTTGAGAGAGGAAGGAGAAGGAAGATGATCATTGTCTTCTTGGGAATGGAACAAGAAACCATGATGATGATGATGATGATGAGGGAATGCCATACGGTCAATCAGTTGCATGAAATATGGAGCATATATTCATTAACAGAGGTATGAATGTTTTGCAAGATTTAAGGGGGAGAAAGTGATATGGTACAGTCTGACTATGATGAGTGATTCAAAGATGACAAGTTATAGGAAAAAGGACATGGTGGGTGGTGATGGGTGTGCAGAGACTCTGAAAGAAAGACAGCGATTTTTAGGTTCAGAGAGAAAGAGAGAGAGAGATGGAACGAGAGGTGTAAAATTGTGTAATATATCACACAAGGGGAGCTTTCTTGGGGCCATCCCCTGATATGGGTCTCTCTCTGTCTTTGTCTCCCTTATTTCTATCCCAAAAGGGCCAAAAAAAAAAAAAAAAAACATCCCCTGATATGGGTCTCTCTCTGTCCTTTGTCTCCCCCTTTATTTCTCTCCCAAAAGGGCCAAAAAAAAAAAAAAAAGAAAAAAAAAAAAAAAAAAAAGAAAAGAAAAAAGAAAAAAAAAAAGAACCACACTCTCATTCCTCATGCTCAGATTAAGTTTAGTATTATTAAAACTACGCTAATCATTTGACATTTACTTCTAACCCGCAAACAGAGGTTTTGGTTAAAAATTAATTATTTGGAGTTAAAAAGAAAAAAACATATGATTAAAGTTATGATTGGTATCAAAGATATTGTTTTTTATTTTATTTTAACCCTGTGATTTTTTTAAAGGAAACCCTGTGATTTAAATATCTTCTATGCTTTGTATAATGTAAAAAGTTTCCAATGCTTTATGGATTTCCCCCCTTTTTGTAGAGGGAAAAAAAAAAAAAGAAATGTTAATTTTTTAAGTTAATCTCAAATTACATTAAAATTAGTCATAATTCTTAATTAGGGTTAAGGGCAAAGGTGATAGTTTGAAACTATCGAACTTTGTATTAACATACCACAGGCACTAAGAAATTATTTCTTTTAACTATACGTGTTGCTAAAACATAAACACTTAATATTAACAAGAATTCTCAAGTAATATCACCATATAAATAAATTCTTCTCATAAACAAACATATTTATGATACTAATATAAATATTTATATGGCAGCACTATTAGTATATTAAGCTTCGGCAAAACTATTAAATGTTTGTTTTTTCTTATGAGTATCCTAACTATGAGTCTAATCTTCTTATAAAGAAAAAAATATTTACAGAAAGAGGCAATCACGAACTTGGAAATGAGGTTAGTCTTGTACGCATTGGAAGGTGTAATTTACCTCAAGCTTTAAAGCAAAATACTTTTTCCTGAGGATCGAACTTATATTCTTATCCTTATGGGATTGAAGTCACTTACTACCTCAACCAACACGTTGTTGGTCGATTTGTTCTAATATTAAGGCAATGTAATTTGGTATTATTTTCTTTTTTAGTAAAAAATTAAAAATTTTACTATATTTTAGCAATTATGAGGTAACCTTTCCATTTGAATACATTTACAAAGTTGTTAATAAATTTTTTGGTAGAGAGAACTCAAATTCAAGACCTCTAAAAAGATCAAACAGATTATAAATTAATCATATTCAATTACTTTAGAAATAAATATTTTCAATAATGATCCCTTTTATGGTAAATTTGAATATAATTGGAGTTGGAACTTGCAAATTTAAAGTTAAAACAAATCTAGCATCCTGGATTTGAAACTCATGGATATAGGAACATTTAACTAGATTTAGACATTTATTTTCATTGTCATTTCATTTCTTACATTAGATGCACCAAACCTATGCACTAATATATGGAGCATGTTGATACCATTACTTGCAATTCACTAAAAAAAAAAAAAAAAAAAAAAACAAAATCCCTTTAAAAAAAAAAAAAAAAAAAAAAATCCTTTCTCTATCATCCATATCAACACCATCCAATAAGCATTAAATTGCAAATTCTTTAATTTTTTTTAAAAAATATTTATGTGGATCATTAATCAAATTGAAATTGAAATTTCATGCAATACAGCCCATGTGTGACGAGGAAACTTGTCAACATGAAAAGCCCAGAATCCAAGGAGAAAAATAATAGGCAAAATGCTGTATGTGTCTCATAATCATTCTATAAAATCCATCTATAGTGGACCTTACAATACTATTTATCATTAATTTATGACTGCTGAGTCTGGCATTTGTTGTAGATTTTTCATTTTAAAGAAAAAAAAATTTGAAGATACTCAATTTTAAAGATTTAAAAGTGGGATTAAGATTAAGAAATTATAACCTTATTATTTCTTGTCATATGCCTCCGCAGATGCAGGCATACACTGTTAAGAATAATTTGTATATGCAAAAGCTTTTGATTGTTGTGTTTTTGTATTAATTGTATTATTCTTACCTTTTAGTTTTTCATATTGAATCTAAGTTTAACTATCTGATTATACGAAGCAGTACAATGATCGAGTATCTATCTTTTTAGTTTCTTTTTCTTTTGAATGATCGAATATTTACATAATAATTATAAATATAAAATGTATATATTCATAATTTAGCAATTTATTTTTGCTTTTAAAATTTATGATTTAAAAAAATGAATGTTGTTATTTATATCGATGGATTGAAGAAAATTCAGGGTTTGATTCATATAAATTTTTATCGAAGGAATATATTGGTTTATATGTATATATACATATATTTTTTGCGCAAGGAATTAGAAAAATCAAGCAATAAGTTGAAGCCTGATGGTAAAATGGGATTCCTTTTGAGGGTAGAATAAGAGGTGTGTATATACATATTCAGATTTTGGTACCCACTTGGTTACTTTAGGATTGATGTCTCTCTCTTTGCCTTTTCAAGGAGAAGCAGATAGGGACATGAAGAGGAAAATGTATATGGGATGCCTAAGAATGCAAGTCCTCATTTATCTATTGATGGAGAAATCATTTTCTGCTTTAACTTTTCTAGAACTAAGTGTATCCAATGGAATTTTGAGAGACCCACCATCCCTATAACTATAGGATTTTTCTAATATATGGAGACCCACCATCCCTTAACTATAGGATTTTTCTAATATAATATATATAATATATATATACATATATATATTATATATATATATATAAAAGAAACATTATTTTTTTTAAATGGCTGGAGCAGCCAGCAAGACGGTGGGGAGTGGGTCATAAATGTACTCTTTCACATGCTTTTTATTTGGAAGATTGGGTAACAGCTTGTGAAATTAGGGTGGATCCATGTTATTCACCTGTTGCTTCTCTCTCATATATATATATAAAGAAACATTATTTTTTTAATGGTGGAGCAGCCAGCAAGAGGTGGGGAGTGGGTCCTAAAATGTACTGCTTTTCACATGCTTTTATTGGAAGATTAGAGGTACAGCTTTGTAATAGGGTGGATCCATGTTATTCCCTGTTGCTCTTCTCCATATTTATTTACAAATCAAAAGCATTTTCTGAATCTTCTCCACATGCTCTCTCTGTTCCCATGTGCCTTGCTTCTCTCTCTCTTTCTCAACCACATTGTTAATTCTTCTCCTTCTTTATTTTCATGCGTTAGATATATAAGTGATTTGATTTATTCAGAAATATTATTTCAGCAGAGTGAGCTTAATCACGTATGTCTCACACTAACAGTTATTGTTGATTCAAATAGTAGAGTTAATATATTGGGAAATGTTTTAAATATAATAGCTCTAAGTATAAAAGAGAAATCACGTATCAAATTAATATTTTGCATATAATGTTAAAAAAGTTATTCTTGTTATATAAAATCGATTTTAAAATTTAGGATATCAAAAGATTTTTTTATTAAATTTGAGGGATTTAATTATGTATTCTATCAAATTGGCCAAAAGGGAAGTTATAAGACTAGAGGTTTCATTACTTTAAACAATGTTTGGCCTTGTTGCCTTACATTCACAGGGCCATGTCCTATTACTGCACCTGATTCGTTAATTGCTTAGTTTTCATTAGGGTTTTTTTTTATTATTTAATCATATTCTTACTTTATTTTATTTTATTTTCTTTATTTTCTATTTAGATTATTACTAACTAACAGTTTGAGCGTGTCAGGTTTTAAAATTTACTAATTATAGGAGAAATTGTGTCACCTGAACTTTTTAATCAGAGAATTAAAGGGTTTGGCTCTAAGGTAAATGCTTCACCGACTACTTGGAATTAATTGACAATGTTTGAAAAATAAAGATTACAAAAAGTTTTGTAAAATAAGAAATTGCTTGAAATCGAAATTGTTGTATTAACAAGGATTGAAATTGCAAAGAGAATCCAACAGTGGTTGGAAAGAAAATTACAATAAATATAAAGAAAGTTGAAATTGAATTGCTATTTGCTTGAGAAATTGTAGTTGAATTATTCTTCATTTTGATTTTTGAAGTTCATTGTTGGGGTCCTTTTTATGTTTGAGCTTGGCTTTAATAAGGCATTTGGCAATTATCACTTTAAGCACACGGCATCTCAACTGTCCAGGTAACTATTCAAATAACTTCTTTCCATCGTGCATATTGTGATAGTTACTAGCTTAATCTTTTCTGTTAACCATCTCGGATTAACTCTCAATACATTTACTTAGCTATTAATTAATTAATTAAAATAAATCATAAAATCAGAAGTTAAACTCATAATACAAAAGTAAGTAAAATATGGTATAAACATATTGTATTTTATTTACGGTTAGTAATTTGTTTCATTGTTAAATTATAATTCCTATTTCTCCTTGTTATACTAAAAAAAAATTATAATTCCTATTTTGTTTAGACCTTTTATAATTATTCCTACTTAGCTTAGTCTTTATTATTCCATAAATAGCCATCGAAAGATATTATAATTAAGTTTTTTAAATATAATTTCAGAGTTTTTTTCTTCAATTAAAGTTGAGTTGGCTTTATTTTATTCTATAGATGTATTTGGAATTAATTTTATTATTCAAGTTTTAGATATCATCTTTGTCACTACTCATCACCCGCCATTAGAACCTGGGTGGGTTTAAAACTGTCAATGCCCATTGCTATCTCAAACAGATGCTCACTAAGCCCATCTCGTTTCAATAAGTAACTCATATCAATAATTGACTGGGCCCACTTTCAATAGCGTGTATCTCAATACATATATCTCCAGTGGCGAAGCTACCTCGTTGAGAGGGTGGGCAATCTTAAAAAAATTCGTTAAAGAGCTTACTTTTTCTGGAATTGGACCCTGGTCGTTCAACAAAATAACACACTTCACCATTTTGCATCCCTAACTTATACATTCAAGTATTTGTCCCCCTGAATTTAAACCCTAGCT